ATACATATATATATATATATATATATATATATATATATATATATATACATATACATAACATTACTCGACAATGCAACGATGACCCAGTAGGCGTCAATAAACAATTTTTGATCTGAGGGTTTGAGCTGAAGTGAAGGATGCGGACTGCAGGTTTATGCCGATACAGCAGAATAACTGGGTCAACTAAATATCGACTGCATCTAAAAATATCAGTAACAGAGTAAAGGCAACATTGTGTCTGCAGTGTTACAATCACTGCATGCAACAAAAATCCCAGCTGCAGCATCCTTAGGGCAAATCCCATGACATAGACTTATTATTACTATACATATGTTTATATGAGAAGAATGAGGGCATGTATTGAAATGCATTGGATGGTGAGCAGCACGCTTCCATTTCTATTAAACTACAATAACCAACCCAAATAATGCACTTACCCAGCTAACAGCCTAAAGTCCTGTCTTGATGTTTTCCATGGTACACAAACCACTCACAAAGATATCCGTGATGGTGTAAAGAATAGCAGGCGATCACGGAACGGAGAGTAAACAGCGGATATTATTCACTGCTGCGAGCGGCTGGCTGCTGATGATGGCGCAGCGGCAGCATAATGAAACTCAACGGCGCTGCGTTTTGATTGACATCTCCTTCAGCCAAAAGAATGCTCTGGATCGCGTTGAACGCGAGCTCGAGCATTTCATTGGCTGAGACGCTTGTCAATCAGCCCCACCCGGGGGTTTGTAAACAGGGTAGGCGAAGGACGGAACACGCCGGGGCGAAGGACACATGTGTCGCTTTATTGACTCCTCATTGAGGGTTTTCATGAGTAGTGTTGAAAGAAGTTACAGGGAATAGCGGTTCGAAAACGCTCCGTCCATTAAACAATTTCATCAAATGAGGTTACGCCTCCTCCGTAAACATTTTGCCACAAAACCCTGATCTGTGCTTAATGCATTAATGACTAAACTTACTTAAATATTGCTTTAAAACTGCAGCCACGCTTATAATAAACAGAATGTTATCGTTGGTGTGGACACCATTATCATCATCATTATCGCCAACATCTTTTTTTTTTCAATTTCCATAGTAAAGTAACGTTCTAACGAAACATATGATGTGAATATCTTTATTATGTTGTAAGTTTTTATAAAAAAAAAGTTTTCATCATTTTTTTTATAGCTACTAGTGCCCTCTACTGATCAATGCTGATCACTAAACAACAAGAACAAAAAGAAACGTGTATTTTCTGCACTTTAAAGGGGTCATATGACGCTGCTAAAAAGAACATTATTTTGTGTATTTGGTGTAATGAAATGTGTTTATGCGGTTTAAAGTAAACAAAAAAACATTATTTTTCACATACTGTACAGTATTGTTTCTCCTCTATGCCCCGCCTTTCTGAAACGCCCCAGGTAGCAAAGACTTCTGGCCCTGATTTGGCATGAAGCCGGCACAGCTGGCATTCAGTCGGCACTGGCATAAGGCATGTGAACCGAACATGGCCCGGTTATGGTGGAGATGGAACCGTCTTTAAGGTGGCAAACAAGATATGGGCCAGTTGTTAAATGTATTATTTGGCCCACATGTAAAATATAGAACTGTGGGCCACATATGTGTGGCCAGTCTTTTCCCACAGTTAAAATGTAATTTCAGATATTTCATAATTGATAATATTTTCATACGCGCAGCTGTTTCCCCTATTCCTGTTTGCAATGTAGGTTTATTGCTCTCTATCAACAAGGTTTCATCAATAATAATTTTAATTATGAAACACCATAAACTTTAAATTTATTACATTTAGGCTACATTTAATCATTCAGCAAACACTTTTATCCAAAGAGATTTACAATAGAGGACAACAGAAGTAAGCAAACCAACAAAAGAGCAATATGTACTAAGAAAGACAGTCTAACACAGTACACAAAGCAAGTATATATATATATATATACACACACACACATATATATATATATATATATATATACACTATATTGCCAAAAGTTTTGGGCCTGCCTTTACGTGCACATGAACTTTAATGACATCCCATTCTTAATCCGTAGGGTTTAATATGGAGTTGGCCCACCCTTTGCAACTTTGTGCACTAGTGCGCAGTCATGTTGGAACAGGAAGGGGCCATCCCCAAACTGTTCCCACAAAGTTGGGAGCATGAAATTGTCCAAAATGTCTTGGTATGCTGAAGCATTAAGCAATTTAGACCTTATATCAGCATTTCCCTTTGAAAATTTCTTAGGAAAACTAAAAAAATTGGTTCGAGGGCCACTTAATCCTTTGACTCAGGTGATACGCAGACTATCAGAGATGGAAAATGGCAGCTACGGTCCTGATGTTAAAGGCAGTTAATTATTGATTCAGTGATGTCATCGTCCAGCTCAGTTCAGTTTAAATTGTATCTGTGCAAAGGCACATAATATAAAGTGGGACCATTTATTGAGTAGTCCATCATAACTTATTTCTTACACATCTGCTGCAGAAGAAAAACGTTGCTTAATTAAAGGAAACTCTATAAAACAGATTTTGTGACGTGTCTCGATTGTTTGGCACATGTAAACAGATAACAGTTAGGCTAATACTTGAAAGAATTGTTTATTGTGAATATTATCATCTAAATGTATATCAACAAATTTAAAACTCTCTATCTCACCTCATCGCCACCGAACTACGCCAATTCTTGTTGTACACTGGTCCAGGTGTGCTGAGTGGTGTTCTACAGCCTCAGATCTAGGACAACTTCATGCTGTTTTCAGTAGGTGTGTACATTTTGGCAAGTCCAAAATATTGTATGGAGTTAAATGACTTTGCTAAAACTCTGTTGGTGTCATTCGTTGAACACTTTGGCCAGCTTTACGGTGAAGAGTTTTTGGTATACAATATTCATGGTCTGGTGCATCTCAGTGAAGATGTCAAAGTACATGGCAATTTAGACCTTATATCAGCATTTCCCTTTGAAAATTTCTTAGGAAAACTAAAAAAATTGGTTCGAGGGCCACTTAATCCTTTGACTCAGGTGATACGCAGACTATCAGAGATGGAAAATGGCAGCTACGGTCCTGATGTTAAAGGCAGTTAATTATTGATTCAGTGATGTCATCGTCCAGCTCAGTTCAGTTTAAATTGTATCTGTGCAAAGGCACATAATATAAAGTGGGACCATTTATTGAGTAGTCCATCATAACTTATTTCTTACACATCTGCTGCAGAAGAAAAACGTTGCTTAATTAAAGGAAACTCTATAAAACAGATTTTGTGACGTGTCTCGATTGTTTGGCACATGTAAACAGATAACAGTTAGGCTAATACTTGAAAGAATTGTTTATTGTGAATATTATCATCTAAATGTATATCAACAAATTTAAAACTCTCTATCTCACCTCATCTCAATAGGCTTGATGTTGATTGAGTTGACAGACACTACAGTTATTATTAAATAAAAACTCGTCATAAAATTAGCTGGATTACACAATGAGATTCAAGCTGCCCCCATGTGGCAAGATTCAGCTTTATGCAAGAGTTACAAAACAGCAGTAATGAGTAGCCTATGTAAGCATACACGTGATCACATTTCAAGTGGGGATCGTGTGGCCTGGTCATACAAAGGAACTTAGACGTTACTCATGCTAACACAGAGACACAGGCTGGTCAGGTATTATTTATTTATTTATTTATTTATTCATTCATTAATTCATTCATGCATACATGCGTCGACTCTGAATCATCGAAACGAGTCGTTTTTAAAACGAATCCCAAGCCGTTTCATGTTGACGTCAACATGAAAATGCAAATTCCTTCTTTGCCACTAGGTGCCGCTTTTGGAGTGGTAAAAATAGCAAAGCAGTACTGCGTTCACAAACGCTGCTTTATCAGGCATTACAGGCAAGACAGGCAAGATATGAGACCAATGGGACCAATCACCGCAGATTAGCGTCACGCAAAGGAGGGGTTTGGAAAATTTGGAAAAATGCCAATTCTTGGTTTATTGCAAGGATACACCAAGAAACCAATTTTGATAGGACTGTTTTGTGGTACTTCTAAGCCAAATTCATTGACTGAATATCTTCATGATCTGGTTCAAGAGCTGAAAGTGTTGAAAGATGGGTTTCTGTTCAAGCAGAAAACCTTCTTTTTGAATGTTGTTTCTGTTGTGTGTGACACCCCAGCCCGAGCCTTCATCAGAGGTGTGAAGTCACACACTGCTTATCATGGATGTGACAAGTGTCACCAAACAGGTATCCGCAAATCGAATAGAATGACATTTCCTGAGGTCAATGCAAGGCGCAGAACTGATGATAGTTTTAGGCAAGCAACAGATGAAGAACACCACGTCCAACACTCACCTCTTACAGAGGTTGGCATTGACATGGTCACTTGTTTTCCATACGATTATATGCACCTTGTTTGTCTGGGTGTAATGAGGCGTCTCTTAGACTTGTGGATCAGCACCACTGGTCCCTTGCACTGTCGCATTTCATCTAGTCAAGCTTCCATGGTTTCAGATAGACTTCTTGCACTGAGAAATTACATTCCAAGTGAGTTTGCTCGAAGGCCACGGGCTCTGGCTGAACGATGTAGATGGAAAGCCACTGAACTACGCCAATTCTTGTTGTACACTGGTCCAGTTGTGCTGAGGGGTGTTCTACAGCCTCAGATCTATGACAACTTCATGCTGTTTTCAGTAGGTGTGTACATTTTGGCAAGTCCAAAATATTGTATGGAGTTAAATGACTTTGCTAAAACTCTGTTGGTGTCATTCGTTGAACACTTTGGCCAGCTTTACGGTGAAGAGTTTTTGGTATACAATATTCATGGTCTGGTGCATCTCAGTGAAGATGTCAAAGTACATGGCAATTTAGACCTTATATCAGCATTTCCCTTTGAAAATTTCTTAGGAAAACTAAAAAAATTGGTTCGAGGGCCACTTAATCCTTTGACTCAGGTGATACGCAGACTATCAGAGATGGAAAATGGCAGCTACGGTCCTGATGTTAAAGGCAGTTAATTATTGATTCAGTGATGTCATCGTCCAGCTCAGTTCAGTTTAAATTGTATCTGTGCAAAGGCACATAATATAAAGTGGGACCATTTATTGAGTAGTCCATCATAACTTATTTCTTACACATCTGCTGCAGAAGAAAAACGTTGCTTAATTAAAGGAAACTCTATAAAACAGATTTTGTGACGTGTCTCGATTGTTTGGCACATGTAAACAGATAACAGTTAGGCTAATACTTGAAAGAATTGTTTATTGTGAATATTATCATCTAAATGTATATCAACAAATTTAAAACTCTCTATCTCACCTCATCTCAATAGGCTTGATGTTGATTGAGTTGACAGACACTACAGTTATTATTAAATAAAAACTCGTCATAAAATTAGCTGGATTACACAATGAGATTCAAGCTGCCCCCATGTGGCAAGATTCAGCTTTATGCAAGAGTTACAAAACAGCAGTAATGAGTAGCCTATGTAAGCATACACGTGATCACATTTCAAGTGGGGATCGTGTGGCCTGGTCATACAAAGGAACTTAGACGTTACTCATGCTAACACAGAGACACAGGCTGGTCAGGTATTATTTATTTATTTATT